TATTTTTAAAGATTTTTTTTTTGAAAAAGTTTCACACAAAAATGGGCCACTCGGAAGCAACTAGCATTTGCCAGCGCTTGGAATATATTGTCAATGTTTTGACACAAATCTGTATCGGCTTCGTCACCATCTACATGAGCTGGCTGTGTCTGCGCACTGGATTAGCAGGGACAGCTCTGCATGCCTGGCTGGGTGTCTTTGGGGTAAGAGGTGGAAGAAAATTTTAATTTGGTGGTGTTTTAAGAAAGAAAAATATTTTTTTTTAATCTTCAATTTGGTGATATTTTGGAAAAAAATTGTGTAAAAATCAAAATTTTGGTGGCAAAAAATATATATATTTTTAAAAAATCCACGTTCGCATCTGATTTGAAAAAATATTTTGCCAAAAAATACAAGTTTCCTTGAAAAAATAATTTTTCTCAAATCCAAGTTCGATTGGTTCTTTAAAAAATAATTTGTTTTTAATCCCAGTTCGATTGGTTCTTAAAAAATATTTATTTTTAAAAAATCCACGTTTATTTGCCTTGAAAAAATATTTTTTTTAATCCACGTTTGATTTGTCCTTGAAAAAAATAATTTTTTAAAAACCCAAATTTGATTGGTTTTTGAGGAATTTTTTTAGAAAAGATTTTTTTTAACCCAAATTTGATTGGTTCTTGGAGAATTTTTTTTTAGAAAATAATTTTTTTAAAAAATCCACATTTGATTGGTCCTTGAAAAAATATTTTTTTTTAAATCCACGTTTGATTAATCCTGGAAATCCCCGTCTGATTATTCCTGGAAAATATTTTTTTAAGAAATCCCCGTTTGATTAGTCCTGGAAAATATTTTTCTTTAAATCCACCTTTGATTAGTCCTGGAAAATATAATTTTTTAAAAAATTCACATTTGATTGGTCCTTGAAAAAAATATTTTTAAAAAAATTCACGTCTGTTTGGTCCTTGAAAAAAACTTTTTTAAAAACACACGTTGAATAGGTCCTTGAAACAATAGTTTTTTAAAAATCCACGTTGAATAGGTCCTTGAAAAAATATTAAAAAACAAGTAAGCAAAGGCTACAGTCGAGCGGGCCGACCGTTGAATACCCTACAACACTATAATAAACGACAAATAATAAAAGAAAACCATCAAGTTTCGTTCTCCAATTTTCGAATAATAGCAACTTAAACTAATTTGCTCATTTCCGATTTATTGGTAGATGTTGCACTTAAATGGTCTTCCTAGATCTGGAACCAATATTTCCCAAAGACCTATAATCTCTCAGAAGTGGCAAAAGATTAACATTTATTATTGGTTTTTGACTGAAACGCATCTATATGAGATACAGACATTTGACTATAATCTTCAACGAAATCAGCGTTAACGAAATAGTCAGAAGTGCGTCTTTCCTGTATTTGTGAATTCTCCAAAAAGTCACTGGAATGGACATTTTCGTATTTTGTCTATAAAAGTTGGCAAACTCCTTCACACATTGAACATTTTTGGATGGCCATCCAAAACAGCTTGGCTTTTGCAGTGTCCGGTAACCCCCATTCAAATGTGCGTGAGGATCGGGCGATAATTACGACCTGCTCACAATTTTGAAGTTTTTTGGTCCATTTCAACCCCTAAATATATGGCGATCATCTCCAAAAAGAGTAGGCTTCTATTCTGACCCTCATCTTATCCCCATGCAAAATTTCGTAAGGATCGGGCCATAAATGCGATCTGTATATGATATCCTGGTATCCTAACTACTCAGTTTTGTTAGCTGTAGAAATATTACCAAAAGTTGAATTCAAAATGAAAATATGCCAAAAATATGAAAAAATTGAAAAAATATGAGAAAATTTTACAAAATCAATATTTTCATCTTTAGAGAGATATTTTTTTGCGATTTTTTAGAGGTTTTTTCTTTCCTGCCAAGAGGCCATTCTGAATTAATGAGAACTGTCGAAATCAGTTCAGCCGTTCTCGACATATAAGAGATCTTTCAAGCATATCTTCTTTGATAGACATATATATCGCATGTATTTGCTATATATTATTTTTTGGATCTTAACATTAATGTAAAGATCAGAAGTCACCTTGTCATGGCTTTGAGATTTCGCCGGGATTTAAAATATTTGCGGTTTAATGAAAAATGTTGAATTTTTTCAACAAAAAAGATATGGTCTATTTTACCCGCTAAATATTATCCGATGACCACCCAAATTGGTAGGCTTCTTCCCCGCCCTAAACTCTAGCTACATGCGAAATTCCGCGTCGATTGGTCTAAAATTGCGACCTGTATAGCTACTGCAAAATCCGATATTTTTTCAGTATTTGGTCCATTTCAACCCCTAAACATTTGGCGATCATCTCCAAAAGAAATAGGGTTCTATTCTGACCCTAGCCCCACCTCCATTCTAAATTTCGTGAAGATCGGGCCATAATTGCGACCTGTAGAGTGATTACAAATTAACATGGACAGACGGACAGACGGACAGACGGACAGACGGACGGACGGACATACATAGCTAGATCGACTCAGCTCGGCGAGATAGGAAGATCCATATATACTTTCCTATGTGGGAAACCAATATTTCGTGGTGTTACATAATTTTTGGCCCAATCAAACTTATAATACCCTCAACACATAGTGTTGTAGGGTATAAAAAATCCACGTCTGAATGGCACTTGAAATTTTTTTTAATTCCACGTCTGAACGGTACTTGAAAATTACTTTTTTGAATCCCCGTTTGATTGATATTTGAAAAAATATTTTTTTTTTAAAATATTGCCTTGCTTGGCGTCTTTGAGGTACGATGTGAAAAAAGATTGTAATGTGGTGGTGTTTAAAAAAAAACATCTTCTTCAATTTGATGGTATTTAAAAAAAATGATTCGAAATCAAAATTTTGGTGACAAAAAAAATATTTGAAAAAAAATATATTTTTAAAAAATCCACGTACGCATTTGACTTAAAAGAATATTTTGCCAAAAAAAAATCCAAGTTTCCTTGAAAAAATATTTTTTAAAAAATCTTCGTCGGATAGGTTTTAGAATTTTTTTTTAAATCCACGCCGGATAGGTCCTTGAAAAAATATTTAAAAAAATCTAAGTTTGATTGATGTTTGAAAAAATATTTTTAGAAAAGTCTACGTTTGATCGATTTTTGAAAAAATATTTTTAAATAAGTCTACGTTTGATCGATTTTTGAAAAAATATTTTTTTAAAATTCCTTGTTCATATATCCATTGAAAAAATATTTTCTTAAATCCACGTTTGATTTGTCCTTCAAAACATATTTTTTAAAAAATCTACGTTTGATCGATTTTTGAAAAATTATTTTTTCAAAAAAATCCACGTTCTTATATCCAAAAATCCACGTTTGTTTGGTCCTTGAAAAAATATTTTTTAAAAAATCTACGTTGGATAGGTTTTAGAATTTTTTTTAAATCCACGTTGAATAGGTCCTTGAAAAAATATTTAAAAAAATCCACGTTTGATTGATATTTGGAAAAATATTTTTTTTAATCCACGTCAGATAGGTCCTTGAAAGACTATTTTTTTTAATCCACGTCGGATAGGTCCTTGAAAGACTATTTTTTTAATCCACGTCGGATAGGTCCTTGAAAGACTATTTTTTTTTAATCCACGTCGTATAGGTCCTTGAAAGACTATTTTTTAAAAAATCCACATCGGTTAGGTCCTTGAAAAAATATTTTTAAAAAAATCCTGATCCTTGAAAAAATATTTTTTTAAAAATCCACGTTTGATTGATATTTGAAAAAAATATTCAATAAATCCACGTTTGATTGATATTTGAAAAAAATATTTTTTTTTAAAATCCACGTTTGATTGATATTTGAAAAAAATATTTTTTTTAATCCACGTCGGATAGGCCCTTGAAAAAATATTTTTTAAAAAATCCACGTTTTAATTGGTATTTAAAAAATATTTTTAAAAAAATTCACGTTTTAATTGGTATTTAAAAAAATATTTTTAAAAAATCCACGTTTTAATTGGTATTTAAAAAAATATTTTTAAAAAAATTCACGTTTTAATTGGTATTTAAAAAAATATTTTTTAAAAAATTCACGTTTTAATTGGTATTTAAAAAAATATTTTTTAAAAAATCCACGTTTTAATTGGTATTTAAAAAAATATTTTTTAAAAAATCCACGTTTTAATTGGTATTTAAAAAAATATTTTTTAAAAAATCCACGTTTGGTTGGTATTTAAAAAAATATTTTTTCAAAAATCCACGTTTGGTTGGTATTAAAAAAAAATATTTTTTAAAAAATTCACGTTTGGTTGGTATTTAAAAAAATATTTTTTCAAAAATCCACGTTTGGTAATACCAATCCACGTTTGGTAATACCATAAAAATTTTTTTTTAAAAAAATTCACGTCTAGTAGGTATTTAAAAAATATTTTTTTAAAAAATCCACGTTTGACTGGTATTTAAAAAATATTTTTTAAAAAATCCACGTTTGATTGGTATTTAAAAAAAAAAATTAAAAAATCCACGTCGGATAAGTCCTTGAAAAAATATTTTTTTCAAAAATTCCACGTTTGCATTTGCCTTGAAAAAATATTTTTTTAAAAAATCCACGTTTGCATTTGCCTTGAAAAAATATTTTATTTATTTTTAATAAATCCACGTTTGATTGATATTTGAAAAAACTATTTTTTTAAAAAATTCTCGTTTGATAGATTTTTTAAAAAATATTTTTTTAATAAATCCACATTTGATTGATATTTGAAAAAATATTTTTTTTAAAAAAATTCACGTTTGATAGATTTTTTACAAAATATTTTTCAAAAAATCCACATTTGTTTGGTTTTTGAAAAAAAAAATTAAAATAATCTACGTTTGATAATTTAAAAAAAAATCCACGTTAGTTTGGTTTTTAAAAAATCTACGTTTGATTTGTCATTGAAAAAATATTTTTTTAAAAAATCCAAAATTAAATTGTCCTCAACATTTTTTTCTTAAATCACCTCTACCTAATCCCCTCCCTCCTTTCCCCTTAGTTCTCCTGCCTCATGGCTGAGGGCATAATGTGTCATTACAATCACAATGTTCTGACAATGAGTTACAGTCGGACAACGAAAAACTATATTCATGGAATCCTACAAGTCTTGGGTGGTGGATGTGGTATAGCCTCCGCCCTGATCAAATGTATACAACATAACTTTAAGTTTGATGATCTGCATGCAAAGCTGGGTAAGAAAATTTTTTTTTAAATTCTTAAAATTTCACTGTTTACCTCCCTCCTTCTCTCTACATCTGTCCTCCAGGTTTTGCTGCCTTTATACTTTGTTGTGTCAGTCTAGTGTCAGGACTTGCCGCTTTCTTTGCCAAGTTCATGAAGAAATGTGTGAGCCCCCTGCTGACCAAAACCTTTCACACCATATTGGGTATTGGCACCTTTGCGGTGGCCCTAAGTGCCCAATATTATGGCTTCAATACCGGATTCTTTAGCCATAATACTCCCTCGAAAGATTTTACAATTCTGATACAAGTTATCACGTTGATGATCCTGATCTTGTCCTGCTGGGGTCCCTTGAAGAATTTGTATCACAAAATTTGTTGTTTATTTGAGGTGAATTAGAATTGGAGATTATTTTAGGAAAAGTAGGATATAATTGAATAAGAAAAAAATAATAATAAAAAAATATTTAAAAAAATTCAAAAATAATAAAAATAATATTTAAAAAAATAATTTAAAAAAAATTTAAAAATAATAAAAACTGAAAAATTCTAAAAAAAATAAAAACAATAAATTTAATAAATTATAAAAAATTTAAAATTGTTGTTTTATTTGTATCTCAAAGAATGATCTCCATTGGTGGTTGTTTTTAAAACTCCTCTCAACTGAAAAGTGCTCTCTTTTCCCATTCTTCTCTCACTTAGGGTTTTTATAAAAAATTGAGAAGTATTTCACTTATTTTCCCACACACATATCCATATCAGCTTCCGGGTGGTATCAAATTTTTTAATGGCGTAGTTAACATCACCGCTCTACGGCAAACAACTGGCAATTCATTGGCGCTTCCAATGAAGCATTAAACTATGAACGACACATAGTTTTTCCGGCTCTAGACATACATCATTCCCCATAGAAACTGAAAAAAAACAGACACTTCTATAGACCAGATAACAGACGTTGTGGACAGCTTAATCTTGTAGGGCTTTAAAATGTTTACACGCCACAACACCACCCACCCAGCACCACCACCTATCGATTAAATAACTGTCAATTGGAATTATTTTATCAGCTGGTTTGAAAGGTTGCTTTGAGAAAAAAAAAACTGAAACTATTTGAATGAAATTAGTCATTAGTTCGGAAAACACATAAAGCAAGGCAGGGAGGGTCGACCCTAATAATGCTCTTTTAAATTTATTTTGGAACACCCAACTTTAAAAAAATATTTTTTAAAAAAAAAATATTTTAAAAAATCCACGCCTTTGATTAATGCCTTGAAAAAATATTTTTTAAAAAATCCACGCCTTTAATTAATGCCTTGAAAAAAAATTTTTAAAAAATCCACGCCTTTGATTAATGCCTTGAAAAAATATTTTTTAAAAAATCCAAGTTTGATTAATCCTTGAAAAAATATTTTTAAAAAATCCACGCCTTTGATTAATGCCTTGAAAAAATATTTTTTAAAAAATCCAAGTTTGATTAATCCTTGAAAAAATATTTTTTAAAAAATCCAAGTTTGATTGTTACTTGAAAAAAATATTTTTTAAAAAATCCACGTTTGATTGTTACTTGAAAAAAATATTTTTTAAAAAATCCACGTTTGATTGTTACTTGAAAAAAATATTTTTTAAAAAATCCACGTTTGATTAATCCTTGAAAAAATATGTTTTAAAAAATCCACGTTTGATTAATCTTTGAAAAAATATTTTTTTAAAAAATCCACGTTTGATTGTTACTTGAAAAAAATATTTTTTAAAAAATCCACGTTTGATTGGTCCATGAAAAAATATTTTTTAAAAAATCCACGTTTGATAAATATTTGAAAAAATATTTTTTAAAAAATCCTCGTTTGGTTAATTTTTGAAAAAATATTTTTTAAAAAATCCAAGTTTGATTGATACTTGCAAAAAATATTTTTAAAAAATCCACGTTTGATTGTTACTTGAAAAAAATATTTTTTAAAAAATCCACGTTTGATTGTTACGTGAAAAAAAATATTTTTTAAAAAATCCACGTTTGATAAATTCTTGAAAAAATATTTTTTAAAATATCCAAGATTGATTAATTTTTGAAAAAATATTTTTTTTTAAAAATCCGCGTTTGATTAATCTTTGAAAAAATATTTTTTTAAAAATCCAAGTTTGATTAATCCTTGAAAAAATATTTTTTTATAAAATCCACTTTTGATTGATACTTGAAAAAATATTTTTAAAAAATCCACGTTTGATTGTTACTTGAAAAAAATATTTTTTAAAAAAACCATGTTTGATTGTTACTTGAAAAAAATATTTTTTTCAAAAATCCACGTTTGATTGTTACTTGAAAAAAATATTTTTTAAAAAATCCACGTTTGATTGTTACTTGAAAAAAAATATTTTTTAAAAAATCCATGTTTGATTGTTACTTGAAAAAAATATTTTTTAAAAAATCCACGTTTGATTGTTACTTGAAAAAAATATTTTTTAAAAAATCCACGTTTGATTGTTACTTGAAAAAAATATTTTTTAAAAAATCCACGTTTGATTAATCCTTGAAAAAATATGTTTTAAAAAATCCCCGTTTGATTAATCCTTGAAAAAATATGTTTTAAAAAATCCCCGTTTGATTGTTACTTGAAAAAAATATTTTTTAAAAAATCCACGTTTGATTGTTACTTGAAAAAAATATTTTTTAAAAAATCCACGTTTGATTGTTACTTGAAAAAAATATTTTTTAAAAAATCCACGTTTGATTGTTACTTGAAAAAAATATTTTTAAAAAATCCACGTTTGATTGTTACTTTAAAAAATGTGGTTGTTTTTATTTTGAATTTTTGTTTGAAAATGTCATATGCTGTGGTGTAGGGTACTCTCTAAATTCGCCTTCCATCTGAGAAAAAAAAACTCCGTTCCTTGGTTCTGCTTTGCCTCTAAATCTAATAAAACAAATCAAAATTTTATTTCAACAAAAACAGATTTCTTATCATTTTTTCAACTTTGTTTCTATTGTTGTCGTCTTTTGCAGAGCTTTTTCTTGTCAAAACTAAAGCAACACGGGGGTTACGAAATTGTCAACACCACCAACAACAACAAAAAAACGTCGAGCTGAGACAAAAGGCAAACATCAGAAAAAAAGAAGAGAAGAGACATATTCTAAGATAAGGGAGCATGCCGGCGAGTAGAACTTAGAAGCAGTAACAACATCACCACCAACAACAACAAGTAATAACATTTTAAAATTAACAAAAACACACATAAACAATTAATAATTACGAAATAAATAAAATATATACACACATAAAACAACAACAACAAAACAAACCAAAAAAATGCCTACTCGCAACACTACAACCTCCAGCAGTAGTACCATACGGACCGACTACGGCAGTACAACGTTTAAAATTTCGATTAGTAACGATTCGGTGAATACCGCAGCAGAGGATAACGATAGTGCGTCCACAACAACAACGACAGCAACAGCAACGGCCGTTGGCTATCAAAGTCTCCCATACACCTCGTCCACGAATTTATACGCCCGTTCATCGTTGACATCTCGGCTGGGTAAAATGTCCATTGACACAATGCCGAACAGTGAAATTCGTCAGATCCATCAACGGATCGATTATTTCCTAAATGTTTTGAATCAAATCTGTATTGGATTTGTAACGATTTGGATGTCGTGGATGTGTTTGCGCTCGGGTTTGGCCGGAACGGCACTGCATGCATGGCTCGTAACAATTGGGGTAAGTTGAAGAGGAGGATCTATTATGGAGCTGCTAATAGCCTTCAGAATATTTTTTATAAATACACGTTTATGGAGCTTCTAATAGCCTTCAGAATATTTTTTATAAATCCACGTTTATGGAGCTTCTAATAGCCTTCAGAATATTTTTTATAAATCCACGTTTATGGAGCTTCTAATAGCCTTCAGAATATTTTTTATAAATCCACGTTTATGGAGCTTCTAATAGCCTTCAGAATATTTTTTATAAATCCACGTTTATGGAGCTTCTAATAGCCTTCAGAATATTTTTTTATAAATCCACGTTTATGGAGCTTCTAATAGCCTTCAGAATATTTTTTATAAATCCACGTTTATGGAGCTTCTAATAGCCTTCAGAATATTTTTAATAAATCCACGTTTATGGAGCTTCTAATAGCCTTCAGAATATTTTTTATAAATCCACGTTTATGGAGCTTCTAATAGCCTTCAGAATATTTTTTATAAATCCACGTTTATGGAGCTTCTAATAGCCTTCAGAATATTTTTTATAAATCCACGTTTATGGAGCTTCTAATAGCCTTCAGAATATTTTTAATAAATCCACGTTTATGGAGCTTCTAATAGCCTTCAGAATATTTTTTATAAATCCACGTTTATGGAGCTTCTAATAGCCTTGAGAATATTTTTTATAAATCCACGTTTATGGAGCTTCTAATAGCCTTCAGAATATTTTTTTATAAATCCACGTTTATGGAGCTTCTAATAGCCTTGAGAATATTTTTTATAAATCCACGTTTATGGAGCTTCTAATAGCCTCAGAACAATTTTTATAAATCCACGTTTATGGAGCTTCTAATAGCCTTCAGAATATTTTTTATAAATCCACGTTTATTGAGCTTCTAATAGCCTTCAGAATATTTTTTTTTTAAATCCACGTTTATGGAGCTTCTAATAGCCTTCAAGAACAATTTTTATAAATCCACGTTTATGGAGCTTCTAATAGCCTTCAGAATATTTTTTATAAACCCACGTTTATGGAGCTTCTAATAGCCTTCAGAATATTTTTATTAATCCACGTTTACGGAGCTTCTAATAGCCTTCAGAATATTTTTTATAAATCCACGTCTTCAGAATATTTTTTATAAATCCACGTCTTCAGAATATTTTTTATAAATCCACGTCTTCAGAATATTTTTTATAAATCCACGTCTTCAGAATATTTTTTATAAATCCACGTCTTCAGAATATTTTTTATAAATCCACGTCTTCAGAATATTTTTTATAAATCCACGTCTTCAGAATATTTTTTATAAATCCACGTCTTCAGAATATTTTTATAAATCCACGTCTTCAGAATATTTTTTATAAATCCACGTCTTCAGAATATTTTTTATAAATCCACGTCTTCAGAATATTTTTTATAAATCCACGTCTTCAGAATATTTTTTATAAATCCACGTCTTCAGAATATTTTTTATAAATCCACGTCTTCAGAATATTTTTTATAAATCCACGTCTTCAGAATATTTTTTATAAATCCACGTCTTCAGAATATTTTTTATAAATCCACGTCTTCAGAATATTTTTTATAAATCCACGTCTTCAGAATATTTTTTATAAATCCACGTCTTTAGAATATTTTTTATAAATCCACGTCTTCAGAATATTTTTTATAAATCCACGTCTTCAGAATATTTTTTATAAATCCACGTCTTCAGAATATTTTTTATAAATCCACGTCTTCAGAATATTTTTTATAAATCCACGTCCTCAGAATATTTTTTATAAATCCACGTTTATGAAGCTTCTAATAGCCTTCAGAATATTTTTATAAATCCACGTTTTCAGAATATTTTTATAAATCCACGTCTTCAGAATATTTTTATAAATCCACGTCTTCAGAATATTTTTATAAATCCACGTTTTCAGAATATTTTTATAAATCCACGTCTTCAGAATATTTTTATAAATCCACGTCTTCAGAATATTTTTATAAATCTACGTTTTCAGAATATTTTTATAAATCCACGTCTTCAGAATATTTTTATAAATCCACGTCTTCAGAATATTTTTTATAAATCCACGTTTATGGAGCTTCTAATAGCCTTCAGAATATTTTTTATAAATCCAGATTTGTAGAGCCTCTGATAGCCTTCAGAATATTATTTATAAATCCACGTTTCCTGGGCCTTGGATGGTCTCGAAAATATTTTTTACAAATCAAAGTTTCATGGGTTGCAGGTTGTTTTGAAAATATTCTTAAAAAATCCACGTTGAAGAAGCTCTGGGTTGAATTGGAAAATTCTTAAAAAGTCCGATGGCTTTAAAATATTCGTAAAACTCCACATTTTTCGAAAAAATCCTAAAAATCCCCAATTGGCCTTTATTTATTTTTTTCTTCTCCCCCTCTCTCATTTCAGTTCTCATTTCTCATGGCCGAGGGCGTGATGTGTCTCTACAATCACAATGTGCTGACATATAATTATCGTCGGACAACAAAGACCACCATACATTGGGTACTTCAGGCTTTGGGTGGAGCTTGTGGCATAGCTGGCGTGCTCATTAAGTGCATACAAAAGGGATTCTCCTTGCACTCGACACATGGCAAATTGGGTGAGTCCAAATGGAGGGGAAAAAAAATAAATCTGAAATATTTTTCAAAATTCTTCTTTTTTCAAAATTTCAGGTTTTGCCGCCTTAATCCTGTGCTGTATCAGTCTGCTTTCCGGCCTTTCGGCCCTCTATTCAATGCGTTTGAAACAATGCCTAAGTCCGTTGCTGAATAAAAGTTTCCATAATCTCTTGGGTTTGGTGACATTCGCAGTGGCCCTATCGGCCCAATATTATGGCTATACGACGGGATTCTTTTCACGTAAAACACCTTCGCATGATTTTACAATTCTAATGAAAGTTTTAACCCTACTCACCTTGGTCTTATCAGCGTGGGGTCCCTTCAAATCCATGATGCATAAAATGCGTAGCATTTATAAACATTATAGTTGAATTGGGAAGGATTTTGGAATTTCTTTTTGAAATTTTAGTTGATAAGAATATTGACAGTTAAAAAAAATTATATATATTATTAATAAAGTCTGATTTTCCAAAAAAAAAAATCAAAGCTATCTTCACAAAATGGTAAAATTCGGTTGAATATGAAAAAGTCTATTCAATTTGGGCTGATATTACATATATAAGATGAGAAATAACCGTAAAATCCGAAGAAGATGTATATCGGAGGTACATAAAAATCTGAACTGATCTCCATAAAATTTGGCAGATACATTTTCGAGCAGTGTCTGACGTTCGGTATCAAAGATTATTATTTTGGGGGGGGGGCTTAAAACCCCAAATCGGATGAAACATATATATGGGAGCTATAGCTATATCTGAACAGATTTTCACTAAATTTGAAGTACATGCTTCTAGGCTGAAATAGGTCGGATGCGCCACAATTCACTCCATTTGGGCTGATATTAGCCATTTGGTGCACAAAAACCCTGAAATCGGATAAAGATATATACGAGAGCTATATCCAAATCTGAACCAAGCTTGACAAAATTTAAAACACTTATTTCTAAGCTGTATCTGATATCTTGTACCAAATATCTTTCCTCTGGAGTACATATTACGCATGTGAGGAAGTTAAAATTCCAAATCGATTTACTTGCTGCTAGACTAAATTCAGTTGGATATTATAAAATTCAGGTAATTTGGACTGATATTGGCCATTTGGTGCACAATTAAGTCGGAATCTGTTGAAGCCATATGTGGGAGCTATATCTAAATTCGAACGGATTCTCTCCAATTTCAATAGGATTCGTCCTTGGGCCAAACAAATATTGTTTGGAAAATTTCACCTCAATCGGAAAATAAATGCGACCTGCACTTTGTTCACAAAACTACATGGACAGACGGACTGGCATGCATAAATCGACTCAGAAAGTGATTCTATGAAGATCGTGGATTTTTAAGAAAATTTCCAAGGCTATCAGGAGTTCCATGAACGTGGATTTTTTAAAAGATTTTCAAGGCTCTCAAGAGTTCCATAAACGGATTTTTAAAAAAAATTTCCAAGGCTCTCAAGAGTTACATAAACGTGGATTTTTAAATAAAGGTTTCCGAGACTATCAGGCTCGTGGATTTAAAAAAAAAAGGTTTCCGAGACTATCAGGAGTTCCATAAACGTTGATTTTTTAAAAGATTTCCAAGGCACTCAAGAGTTCCATAAACGTGGATTTTTAAAAAAGATTTCCGAAGCTATCAGGAGTTCCATAAACGTGGATTTTTAAGAAGATTTTCGAGCCAATTAGAATTTCCATAAACGTGGATTTTTAAAAAGATATCCAAGGCTATCTGCAGTTCCATAAACGTTCCGTTCCGTAACGTTAGAAGTTCCGTAAATGTGAATTTTTAAGAAGATATCCAAGGCTATCATGTGGTGTAGGGTGAAAAAATTCCAGGGATATTTCGGACTCCGTAGTCTAGTTCTTTAAAAATAATTGAAATAATAAGCAGGAGAATCTTGAATTTTAAAGAGAAATTTCGGGACATGTTAAGACATTTGCTAATTTTATCAGGAGTTCCATAAACGTAGAATTTTTTGAGGATATTTTCAAGGTAGTAGAAGTCACATTAACGTGGATTTTTTTAAAATATTTTTAAAATCATTAGAAGTTCCATAAACGTGGATTTTTAAAAATATTTTCGTGTCAATTGGATGTTCCATAAACGTGGATTTTTAAGAAAATTTCCATGGCTATCAGGAGTTCAATAAACGTGGATTTTTAAAAGATTTCCAAGGCTCTCAAGAGTTCCATAAACATGGATTTTTAAAAGATTTCCAAGGCTCTCAAGAGTTCCATAAACGTGGATTTTTAAAAGATTTCCAAGGCTCTCAAGAGTTCCATAAACGTGGATTTTTAAGAAGATTTCCAAGGCTATCAGCAGTTCCATAAACATGTTTTTTTAATATTTTCGAGCCAATTATAAGTTCCGTAAACGTGGATTTTTAAGAAGATTTCCAAGGCTATACGGAGTTCCATAAACGTGGATTTTTTAATTATTTTCCAGCCAATTAGAAGTTCCATAAACGTGGATTTTTAAGGAGATTTCCGAGCCAATTAGAATTTCCATGAAAGTGGATTTTTTAAAAAGGATTTCCGAGGCTATCCGGAGTGCCATAAACGTGGATTTTTAAGAAAATATCCAAGGCTATCCGGAGTGCCATAAACGTGGATTTTTAAGAAGATATCCAAGGCTATACGGAGTGCCATAAACGTGGCTTTTGTTTTCAAATGTTCCATAAACATTCTGTTCCGTAACGTTAGAAGTTCCGTAGACGTGGAATTTTAAGAAGATATCCAAAGCTATCAGGAGTGCCATAAACGTGGATTTTTAAAATAAAGATTTCCGAGACTATCATCAGGAGTTCCATGAACGTGGATTTTTAAAAAGATTTCCGAGTCTGTAATCAAGAGTTCTATGAACGTGGATTTTTAAAAAGATTTCCAAGGCTATCAGAAGTTCCATAAACGTGGATTTTTAAGAGGATTTCCAAAGTACTCAGGAGTTCCATAAACGTGGATTTTTAAGAGGATTTCCAAAGTACTCAAGAGTTCCATAAACGTGGATTTTTAAGAGGATTTCCAAAGTACTCAGGAGTTCCATAAACGTGTATTTTTTAAGTATTTTGGAGGCAATTAGTGGTTACACAAACGTCGATTTCTAAGAAAATTTTCGAGCCAATTAAAATTTCCATAAACGTGGATTTTTAAGATGATTTCCAAGGCCATCAGCAGTTCCATAAACGTGGATTTTTTTTTAAATATTTTCGAGTCAATTATAAGTTCCGTAAACGTAATTTTTTAGAACGATTTCCAAAGTTCTTACGAGTTCTATAAATGTGGATTTTTTAAAAATATGTTCAAGTCCATTAGAAACGTGGATTTTTTTAATATTTTGGAGCCAATTAGAGGTTCAATAAACGTAGATTTTTAAGAAGATTTCCGAGGCTATCAGGGGTTCCATAAACGTTGATTTTTTTAAAAATATCTTCAAACCAATTAAAAGTCCCATAAAGGTGGATTTTTTTAAAATATTTTCGAGCCAATTAGAATTTCCATAAACGTGGATTTTTAAAAAGATTTCCGAGGCTAACAGGAGTTCCATAAATGTTGATTTAAAAAAAAAAATTCTAGAAAATTAGAAGTTTCAAAAACGTGGATTTTTAAGAGGATTTCCGAGGCTAACAGGAGTTCCATAAATGTTGATTTAAAAAAAAAATCTAGAAAATTAGAAGTTTCAAAAACGTGGATCTCCAAGGCTCTCAGGACTTCCATAAACTTTGATTTTTTAGAAGGTTTTCAAGGCAATCAGGAGTTCCATAAACGTGGATTATTTAATAATATCGTCAAGCTAATTATAAGTTCCATAAACGTGGCTTTTTAAAAAGGTTTCCAAGAATCTGAGGAGTACTATAAACGTGGATTTTTTAGAATGTTTCCAAGGATATGAGGAGTTCTATGAACGTGGAATTTTATAAGAAGTATTTCCATGGAATTCTGAGCTTCAAAAACGTAAAGTTTTAAAGAATATTTCAAAGGCTATTTGGGGTCCCATGAGCGTGGATTTTTTAGCAGTATTTCCATGGAATTCTGACCTCCAAAAACGTATATTTTTGAAGAATATTTCAGAGGTTTTTTGGGGTTCCATGAGCGTGGATTTTTTAGGAGTATTTCCTTGGCATTTTAAGTTCCAAAGAAGTAGATTTTTCAATAATATTCCAGAGTCTTCATGGGATCGCACATGAGTGTGATTTTTTTAATATTTTCAGACCAAATGTGGATTTTGTAAATGAAAAATGCTATAGAATATTTTCAAGCCAATCATGAGCTCCATAAATGTGGATTCTGGAAGACTTTTTCCAAAGCTATCTGAAAATAGAGAATGGTAGATTTTAAAACTTGAAATTGGTAAATTTTTTAAGAATAACTTTACCTCTTGAAACCCCTTGTGTTTAGCTTGGGAGATATCCGGCAACCCAACACAATGCCGTCAACATTAATCAGTTCCAAAATAACATAAGATGATGAGAAACTCCTCCCCATACATCAATATCTTCGCTAGATATGTAAAGTTGCTTTTCTTCTTCTTCTCCTCCTGCTTCCTACAACGATCTCCTTTGCCGTTTGCATATCAAAAAAAGATTGCACCACTTGTTTTTTTGTTTGTCTATTTGTTTTCTCTTCATTTGAATGATCGATGATGATAAGAAGCCGAAAGAAAACTCCCAATCAGTAGCGAGGGCTTTGATATCGAGACATATTCTGCCAGGTGATTAGTTGTCGAAGAATATTGAATCATTTCAGATCAATGCAAGAGAATGCGTCAGACGGGGAAAATTGTCATCAATAAAGTGGAGAAGCAGAAATCTCCCCCTCGACCAGGCCAGTTGGTTGTGACAAAATGTCAAATTTTGGAATTTTTGCTGATCTCCCTAAATCGCCTGCTAATGGGTTTTGTTTGCCTCTATATGTGTTGGATGTGCCTGCGTTTGCCGTTGCAGGAAATACCATTTCATGCTGTGTTTTGCACAATTGGAGTAAGTCGGAAAAAATTGATTCGATTGATGATGTCAGCTTTTCTTTATAAATTCTTCTCTCTCTCCAATTTCTAGTTTGTTTGCCTGATGTCTGAGGGCCTCATGGCCTATTATCGTGCCAATGCCCGCACCAAATTCTGTGATCGTTCTCAGAAAACCAAAACCCATTGGATTTTGCAGTTATGTGGTTCCATATTGGGTTTAGTTGGAGTTGCCATCAAAATTGGTATTGAGGAGAAACATTTCCATAGCGTACATGGAATTGTGGGTGAGTATTAATAAGAGCTCATTGAGCGTGGATTTTTGGTTAATATTTTTAAGGCTATCAGGAATTTTCAAAAACATGAACGTTTCTAAAAAAATATTCCATGGCCATCTAGGGCTCCATAAAATAGGATTATTCAAGAATATTTCCATTGCCTTCCAGAGTTTCATACACCGGAAAATTCTTTTTTGAGAATATTTCTATGGCATTTTGGAGCTCCATAAACGTAGATTTATCAAGAATATTTCCATGGCAATACAGAACTACATAAATGTCATTTTTAAAGAAAATTTCCCTGGGATTCCGGAGCTCCATAAACAATCCTTTTTATTCCCTGTATTGTAATTGTATATTCTAAGGCCGTGGATACGCATTCAAATAAGATTCTACTACTACTACTTCACATAAATCCCCAATATAATTTTTTTTGTTACAGGAGTTCTACTAATTACGCATAGTGGTGTAGGGTATCATATATTCGGCCCCGCCCGACTTTTTACCTTTCCTTGCAGGTTTATGAATATTTCGGTGGCATTCTGGAACTCAATAACCGTGGTTTTAAAAAGGATATTTCCAAGGCAATCAAACGTTAAATTTTAATGAATGTTTTTAAGGGCATCCTCCTGGTCCATAAAAGTGGACTTTGGAATATTTCCATATTATTATAGAGTTTCAAAAATGTGATTTTTTTAGAACATTTTCGAGACTATCCAATCCAATATTTTCAAGGAATTCTAGAGTTCCACGAAAGCGCACTTTTTAAGAATATTTTCAAGATAATAAATGTGGCATTTAAACAAAATGTCCAAGAAAATGAGAAACGCAATTTTTTAAAACTATTTCCATGTCATTTCAGAGATCTTAAAAAGGTAAATTTTTAAAAACTTTTTCCATTAGCATGAACCCTTTAAGTGTATTTCCAGGGACAAAGAGACTCCATAAGAATGAACTTGTTTTAAGAATATTTTCATATCAGGAGCTCAATTTTGGAATAGCAAGAACCTTCATTATTGTAGATTATTTGAGAATATTTCCATAATTTTGTGTTTATAAATTTTTCAAAATATTTCAAAGCAAAACATATTGAAAAATATCCTCTAAAAAATCCACGCCTCCTATACATCTTGAAAAAAATATTCTTAAAAAATCCTCTTCTCACATAGACCTTGAAAAAATATTCTTAAAAAATCTCCTTCCCATATAGACTTTGAAAAAATATTCTTTAAAAATCCACGCCTGATACACATCTTAAAAAATATTATTTAAAAATCCACGCCTGATACACATCTTAAAAAATATTATTTAAAAAATCCACGCCTGATATACATCTTAAAAAATATTATTTAAAAAATCCACGCCTGATATACATCTTAAAAAATATTATTTAAAAAATCCACGCCTGATATACATCTTAAAAAATATTATTTAAAAAATCCACGCCTGATATACATCTTAAAAAATATTATTTAAAAAATCCACGCCTGATATACATCTTAAAAAATATTATTTAAAAAATCCACGCCTGATATACATCTTAAAAAATATTATTTAAAAAATCCACGCCTGATATACATCTTAAAAAATATTATTTAAAAAATCCACGCCTGATATACATCTTAAAAAATATTATTTAAAAAATCCACGCCTGATATACATCTTAAAAATATTATTTAAAAAATCCACGCCTGATATACATCTTAAAAATATTATTTAAAAAATCCACGCCTGATATACATCTTAAAAAATATTATTTAAAAAATCCACGCCTGATATACATCTTAAAAAATATTATTTAAAAAATCCACGCCTGATATACATCTTAAAAAATATTATTTAAAAAATCCACGCCTGATATACATCTTAAAAAATATTATTTAAAAAATCCACGCCTGATATACATCTTAAAAAATATTATTTAAAAAATCCACGCCTGATATACATCTTAAAAAATATTATTTAAAAAATCCACGCCTCATATACATGTTGAAAAAATATTCTTTAAAAAATCCACGACTCATATACATGTTGAAAAAATATTCTTTAAAAAATCCACGCCTCATATACATGTTGAAAAAATATTCTTTAAAAAATCCACGCCTCATACACATGTTGAAAAAATATTCTTTAAAAAATCCACGCCTCATATACATGTTGAAAAAATATTCTCTAAAAAATCCACGCCTGTGAAGGTCGTTGAAAAAATAATCTTTAAAAAATCCACGCCTCATATACATGTTGAAAAAATATTCTTTAAAAAATCCACGCCTCATATACATGTTGAAAAAATATTCTTTAAAAAATCCACGCCTCATATACATGTTGAAAAAATATTCTTTAAAAAATCCACGCCTCATATACATGTTGAAAAAATATTCTTTAAAAAATCCACGCCTCATATACATGTTGAAAAAATATTCTTTAAAAAATCCACGCCTCATATACATGTTGAAAAAATATTCTTTAAAAAATCCACGCCTCATATACATGTTGAAAAAATATTCTTTAAAAAATCCACGCCTCATATACATGTTGAAAAAATATTCTTTAAAAAATCCACGCCTCATATACATGTTGAAAAAATATTCTTTAAAAAATCCACGCCTCATATACATGTTGAAAAAATATTCTCTAAAAAATCCACGCCTGTGAAGGTCGTTGAAAAAATAATCTTTAAAAAATCCACGCCTCATATACATGTTGAAAAAATATTCTCTAAAAAATCCACGCCTGTGAAGGTCGTTGAAAAAATAATCTTTAAAAAATCCACGCCTCATATACATGTTGAAAAAATATTCTTTAAAAAATCCACGCCTCATATACATGTTGAAAAAATATTCTTTAAAAAATCCACGCCTCATATACATGTTGAAAAAATATTCTTTAAAAAATCCACGCCTCATATACATGTTGAAAAAATATTCTTTAAAAAATCCACGCCTCATATACATGTTGAAAAAATATTCTTTAAAAAATCCACGCCTCATATACATGTTGAAAAAATATTCTTTAAAAAATCCACGCCTCATATACATGTTGAAAAAATATTCTTTAAAAAATCCACGCCTCATATACATGTTGAAAAAATATTCTCTAAAAAATCCACGCCTGTGAAGGTCGTTGAAAAACAATTCTTTAAAAAATCCACACCTGTGAAGGTCGTTGAAAAACAATTCTTTAAAAAATCCACGCCTGTGAAGGTCGTTGATAAACAATTCTTTAAAAAATCCACGCCTGTGAAGGTCGTTGAAAAAATATTCTTTAAAAAATCCCCGCCTGTGAAGGTCTTTGAAAAAATATTCTTTAAAAAATCCACGTCTGTGAAGGTCGTTGATAAACAATTCTTTAAAAAATCCACGCCTGTGAATGTCGTTGAAAAAAAAATAATCTTTAAAAAATCCACGCCTGTGAAGGTCGTTGAAAAACAATTCTTTAAAAAATCCACGCCTGTGAAGGTCGTTGAAAAAAATAATCTTTAAAAAATCCACGCCTGTGAAGGTCGTTGAAAAAAAATAATCTTTAAAAAATCCACGCCTGTTAAGGTCGTTGAAAAAATATTCTTTAAAAAATCCACGCCTGTGAAGGTCGTTGAAAAAAATAATCTTCAAAAAAATCCACGCCTGTGAAGGTCGTTGAAAAAAATAATCTTTAAAAAATCCACGCCTGTGAAGGTCGTTGAAAAAAATAATCTTTAAAAAATCCACGCCTGTGAAGGTCGTTGAAAAAAATAATCTTTAAAAAATCCACGCCTGTGAAGGTCGTTGAAAAAAATCTTTAAAAAATCCACGCCTGTGAAGGTCGTTGAAAAACAATTCTTTAAAAAAATCCACGCCTGTGAAGGTCGTTGAAAAACAATTCTTTAAAAAATCCACGCCTGTGAAGGTCGTTGATAAACAATTCTTTAAAAAATCCACGCCTGTGAAGGTCGTTGATAAACAATTCTTTAAAAAATCCACGCCTGTGAAGGTCGTTGAAAAAATATTCTTTAAAAAATCCCCGCCTGTGAAGGTCTTTGAAAAAATATTCTTTAAAAAATCCACGTCTGTGAAGGTCGTTGATAAACAATTCTTTAAAAAATCCACGCCTGTGAAGGTCGTTGAAAAACAATTCTTTAAAAAATCCACGCCTGTGAAGGTCGTTGAAAAACAATTCTTTAAAAAATCCACGCCTGTGAAGGTCGTTGAAAAACAATTCTTTAAAAAATCCACGCCTGTGAAGGTCGTTGAAAAAATATTCTTTAAAAAATCCACGCCTCATATACATGTTGAAAAAATATTCTTTAAAAAATCCACGCCTCATATACATGTTGAAAAAATATTCTTTAAAAAATCCACGCCTCATATACATGTTGAAAAAATATTCTTTAAAAAATCCACGCCTCATATACATGTTGAAAAAATATTCTTTAAAAAATCCACGCCTCATATACATGTTGAAAAAATATTCTCTAAAAAATCCACGCCTGTGAAGGTCGTTGAAAAAATATTCTTTAAAAATCCACGCCTGTGAAGGTCGTTTGAAAAAATATTCTTTAAAAATCCACGCCCGTGAAGGTCGTTGAAAAACAATTTTTTAAAAAATCCACGCTTGTGTAGGTCGTTGAAAAAATATTCTTTAAAAAATCCACGCCTGAGAAGGTCGTTGGAAAAATATTCTTTAAAAAATCCACGCCTCCTCATATGCTTGAAATAATCACTAGCTTTTAAAATTATTCCGAATTCATTTCTTTTAATTCATTATTTTGTTTTTCCTCCTTTTTCTTTTTGCAGGTCTCATCACATCCGTAATGCTACTGTTCACCCTTCTCAGTGGGCTTAGTGCCCTCTATGCCCACGAAATGAAAAGCATCCAGCCCATGTTGAATAAAACGCTGCACAACATTTGGGGTCTATTGACCTACACGCTGGTAATGCTGAGCATGTACACAGCCTATGATACGAATATTTTCATCGAGTACTCCTTGGATGCAGCGACCTATAACGATTTTAAATGGTTAATACAAATTAGTATCGGTAGCATATGGCTACTTACCATCTATGGACCGATATGGTGTCTCGTCTATATGAAGCTGTGGGGGAGTAGTTGTTGTTAAGTGGGGTGGGGAGGGGAAGGGAAGTCCAAGCATCATCAACACGGTCACCGAGAGTGGAGAAGCAGTCAAGCAGTCAGCGAGGGTTTAATTTGTAAATTCAGATCTTACTTCGAAAGAAATTTCAGAGCTCATGTATTATATGATTCAATTTTAGAGTAGCGATTGTATTTCTCATCCTTAGATTAATTTTAAAATATAGCCTCATCATATTTTTTCCAAATCCCAAAAATGTCCAGGTAATGTTTTGAATGGTTCCTTTTTACTTGAATTTCAAATTTATATCCTATTTTTTAAGTAAAAGAGAGTTCAAATAATGAATACAAGTTAGTGTAGTTAGCATATGGCTACTTACCATCTACGGACAGATATGGTTTTGGATTTATATGAAGCTGTGGAGGAATAATTGTTGTTAGGTGGAAAAGGGAAGGCAATACAACAAGGGACTTTCGAAGACGGACACCATCAACACAGTAATCAGGAGTGAGGTAGCGGTCAGGGCAGCAAGGGTTTGGTTTATGAATTCTGATTTTACTTCGAAAAATTTTTCAGAGCTCCTACATCCACCAAAAAATAAAAAAAAACAATACACCAAAAAAATTGACATCCAAGGATTTTTTTCCTATCGATCATATGGAGAATGTGAGGATAACTCTCAGTAATAGATAACATTTAAAATATAGCCCCATCACCTTGAACTTAATCCCAAAATTGTCCAGCTAATATTTTGAATCTTTCCATTTTACCTAAGCTTCAAATATAGTTCCCATTTTTATACCCTCAGCCATAGGGCTAGAGAGGGTAAATATCATTTGATACGGCCAAAATGTGCCTCATCGAAATAATGGTTTTCGACCCCAGGTCTCTTTGAACCAAATCCGTTTCAGGACATTTGGAGTCGATCCAGCGATGTCCCTTCGTCCATGTCCGTCTGTCTGGCTGGTGCACACGATAACTCTCAAAGGGAGCATCCGATTTGATCCAAACTTGGTACATCGTAATATTATTATCAAACATAGGTCGAGTTCGAAGATGGGCAATATCGGAACCCTCCTTTTGATACCTCCCCCTTAAAATGTTGAAATTTTCAAAGAAAATAATTTTGCTGCACAGAAAGAGAAATGATAATCCGATTTTGCTCCAACTTTGCAAATCATAATATTTGCATCAGTGCTAGGTCAGGTGCGAAAATGGGCAATATCTGTTAAATAATGCAAAAATACCTTGTCTTTTTGGGCCAAATCCGTTTCAGGATATTTGGAGTCCGTCTACCGATGTCCGTCCGTCTCTCTCTCTCTCTCTCTCTGGCTGGTGAGCAAGATAATTCTCGAAGAGAGTATCCGATATGGTCCGAACTTAGTACATCATAATATTATTATCAAACTTAATTCGAGTTCGGAGATGGACAATATTGGTTCACTTCTTCTGGTAACTCCCCCCCAAAAGGCGGACATTTAACCAAAACGATCATAAAAACCGAAATAAGCATCCGATCCTCTTCAAATTATACACATCGCAATATTTTAATTTGGCCAAGGTCTGGTGTGAAGATGGAATACATCGGCTCACTCCTTGTGGTACCTCCCCCACAAAGGGTCACAATTTTGAATAATCATGAAGCTAATAAAACGCGAAATTAATATCCGATTCCATTCAGACTTGGAACATTTCAATATTTCCATCAACACAAGATCCGTTATAAAGATGATAGAGATCGGACCATTTCTTCTGGTACCTCCCCCACAAAGGGTCAAAATTTTGAATATCCAAAACGATCATAAATTCCGATATAGTCATCCGGTTCTTTTCAAATCACATACATCACAATATTTTTATTAACCCAAGGTCTGGATTGAAATTGGAATATATCGGTCCACTTCTTCGGGTACCTCCCCCACAAAGGGTCAAAATTTTAAATATTCATGAATGTCATAAAACGCAAAATTAACATCCGATTCCATTCAGACTTAGCACGTCCCAATATTTTCATAAACACAAGATCTGTTATAAAGATGGTAGAGATCGGATCATTTCTTCGGGTACCTCCCCCACAGAGGGTAAAAATTTTGAATAACCAAAACGATCATAAAATCTGAAATAAGCATCCGATCATCTTCAAATTACATACATCGCAATATTTTAATTAGGCCAAGGTCTGGTGTGGAGATGGAATATATCGGTCCACTCCTTCTGGGACCTCCCCACGAAGGGTCAAATTTTTGAATATCCACGAAACTCATAAAACACGAAATAACCATCCGATTCCATTCAAGCCTGGCACATCTCAATATTTCCATTAACACAAGATCTGTTATAAAGATAGTAGAGATCGGACCATTTCTTCAGGTAACTCCCCCACAAAGGGTCAAAATTTTGAATAACCAAAACGATCATATATTTCGATATAAGCATCCGGATCTTTCCAAATTACACACATCACAATATTTTTATAACCCAAGGTCTGGTGTGAAATTGGAATGTATCGGTCCACTCCTTCTGGTACCTCCCCCACAAAGGATCAAGATTTTGAATATTCATGAAGCTCATAAAACACGAAATTAACATCCGATTCCATTCAGACTTAGCACATCTCAATATTTTTATCAACACAAGATCTGTTGTAAAGAAGGTAGAGATCGGACCATTTCTTCTGGTACCCCCCTACAAAGGGTCAACGTTTTAATTAACCAAAACGATCATTAAATCCCAAATAAGTATCCGGTTCTTTTCAAATCACACACATCACATTATTTTTATTAACCCAATTTCTGGTGTGAAGATGGAATATATCGGTCCACTCCTAATGGTACCTCCCCCACAAAATGTCAAAATGTTGAGTAACCATGAAGCTCATAAAACCCGAAATAAACATCCGATCAACACAATATCTGTTATAAAGATGGTAGAGATCGGACCATTTCTTCAGGTATCTCCCCCTCAAAGGGTCAAAGCTTTGATTAACCAAAACGATCATAAAATCCGAAATAAGCACCCGATCCTCTTCAAATTACACACATCGCAATATTAATTAGGCCAATGTCTGGTGTTGAGATGGAATATATCGGCTCACTCCTTGTGGTACCTCCCCCACAAAGGATCAAAATTTTGAATATTCATGAAGCTCATAAAACACGAAATAACCATCCGATTCCATTCAAACGTGGCAAATCTCAATATTTCCATTAACACAATATCTGTTATAAAGATGGTAGAGATCGGACCATTTCTTCTGGTACCTCCCCCTAAATATTACACGCTTGGTACACAATAAAAGGCAAATCGGACGAAGATATATGTGAGAGCCATATCCAAATCTGAACTGATCTTGATAAAATCTGGCAAAGGTATTTCAGAGCTGTATTTGATATATTTCCCCGAATATCATTGTTACGGAGCGAATATTACGGCTGTGGGGAATAAAAATAACAAATCGGAGGAACAATATATATGGGAGATATAGCTATATCGGAACCGATTTCGATCAAATTTTACATACTTGTTTCTAGGCTCACTTTGGTCGTAAGTGCCAAATTCAATCCGATTTGGGCTAATTTTACACGTTTGGTGGCCAATAAAAAGCAAATCGGAAGAAGATATATATGGGACTTATATCTAAATTTTGACCGATTATCTCCTATTTCAATGGAGTTCACCCTTGGGTCAAACAAATGCTTTGTGCAAATTTTCATCTGGATCGGACAATAAATGCGACCTGTACTTGGTTTACAAAAATACATAGACAGACAGACGGACGGACGAACATGCATAAATCGACTCAGAATGTGATTCTATGCAGATCATCAAAAGGAACTATGGGTCTATCTCGTTTCCTTTTGCCTGTTACAAACAAATGCACCAAGACATAATACCCTGACCACCTTGTGGTGTAGGGTATAAATATTGCGACAGATGTGCCAAGTCTAAATGGAATCGGATGTTAATTTGGCCTTTTGTGAGCTTCATGGGTACTCAAAATTTCAATATTTTGTGGAGGAGCTACCAGAAGGAGTGGACCGATGTATTCACCCTTCACACCAGACCATGGGTTACTACAAATAGTAGGATGTGTGAAATTTGAAGACAATCGGACTCTTGCATCACATTTTATGAGAGTTGTAATTATTCAAAATGTTGACCATTTGTGGGGGAGGTACTTGATGGAGTGGATCGATATTGTCCATTTTCACACTTGACCTAGTACTGACGCAAATTTTAGGATATGCAAAGTTGGAGCAAAATCGGATTATCGATTCACTTTCTGTGCAAAAAATATATTTTTTAAACATTTCGACCTTTTGTGGGGGAGGTACCAAAAGGAGTGGACCAATATTGCCCATCTCCGAACTCGATCTAAGTTTGACAAAAATATTACGATGTACCCAATTTGGACCAAATCGGATACTCCCTTCGAGAGTTATCGTGCGAACCAGCCAGACAGACAGACGGACGGACGGACGGACATCGCTAGATCGACTCTAAATGTTCTGAAACGGATTTGGTCCAAAGAGACCTAGGGTCTAAAACCGTTATTTCGACTAGGCACGTTTTGGCCGTATCAAATGATATATACCCTCTGTAGCCATATGGCTGAGGGTATAACAAGTAAGCAAAGGCTATATTCGTGAATTTTTTGGAAGATTTCGTTTTTGAAACAATATCAAAGAGCCCTGCCCAGATGTTACCCTTAGGGTTTTGACCCGGGGAATTTGGCTCATATTTACGCAATCGGTCGTATTGTTAGGTACCCAAAAAAAAAAAATCACATGAAAATTGTGGTCCATTTTACAGCTAAATCGAATCCAATGGACATCCAAAAATGCTAGACCTCTTCCCTGTACTTAACCTCTCTTCTGTACGAAATTCCGTTTCGATTGGTTTTCAATTGTGGCCTATAGAGAGATTATAAAATTAGAAAAATTTTAACTTTCTTAGTCCATTTATACCCCTACTAAATGTACATCTTAAGGACAATAGGCTTAAATACTTATTTTTCTGCGGATTTCTT